CATCCTTTTTTCTCCCCTTTCTCACTATTAAACCCTGTTTACACAGAGCTCTAATAACCTTCTCACTTTGGAGGGTGGCCCGAGGTCTCTAACTAAAGCTTGTAAACATTCTCACGAAATACTCAAAATGTAGAATACCCTGGTCTAAAATCCCAGGACAAAAGATAGAGTTTTTATTTGTGATATTTCTGGGATTGGCCACAGAAGGAGGTATATATATATATATTTTATTGAGGTATAATTTAAACAACATACAGTTAACCATTTTAAATGAACAATTCAGTGGCATTTATTGCATTCATGCTGTTGTGTAACCAACACTTCTGTTTAGTTCCAGAACATTGTCATCGCTCCAAAGTAAAACCCTGCACTCATTAAACAGTTTCTCCCTCTTGTCTCCTTCCGGCTCCTGGCAACCACCAATTTGCTTTCTGTCTCTGTGGATCCACCCGCTGCCGGATATGTCATATCAATGGAATCATGCAATACGTGCCTTTTGTGTCCAGCTTTTTTCACTAGCATCATGTTTTCGAGGTTCATTCATATCAGGAGGACGTTCGTCTCCAAAATAAATCCTGCTGAAGAGCTATCGTGTCTCCTATTTAAAGTTGAGTAGGGGCATTAAAGAGCCCATAGGATGAACCCTGAAGCTTGCAAGACCCTGGAGAGATCATCAGAGGCTGCGGAGGCCAGACTCTGCCCACAGAACCACCCTTGTCTCCGACTCTGTTGTTCCTGCCTCTGCCTCTGAATGATGCCTCCTGGAGTCCTAATGTCATCTCCTGCTCATGGTCTTTGGCAGCTTCTCTCTCGCCCTGCTTCTCACATAACAAACTCGTTCCCGTTGCCCTGCTTTGCCTCTGTGTATCTGGGTTTGGTACATCTTGAGAGAAAATGAATTTCATGGAAATTAGGGAGAAGGGAAGCGATGGGTTTCCAAGCTTCCAGCCCTTTCCATCTTGTTAGGTAGCCATGAGATCTCAGTAGAGGTGAGAGCTGATGGTATCTTAACACCTGGATGGGAAGAGGGTGCTGAATTAAGTTAATGCCTGGAAAACGTGATTAGTCATGAAAAGTTTTTAGTGTATACCTGTAATAAGTTCATTATAAGGATATACATTTAAAAATGATTTGCCGTATGGATTTAACTCTTTCATGTGTTTTACGATTGTCTTTTATTTTATTTTATTTAAAAAATCTGGTTTGACATCATTCTTATCACTATCATTGACTTTTCCTCTTTTGATCTTTTTCCTCGTTTTTATATCCTCTCTGTATTTTTAAAACTTTTTATGGAAGTCAAGGAATTCATCCTTCTGGAATTGGAATTCACTCAATCTGGAATTAGAAATTTGCATCCCCTAGATTTTAGTAATTTTTCTGTTCTTTTGAGCTGATTTTTCCTAACAGAACAATTACTCTTCAAGCAGCCTTATCTGGCCACTAGATGGCGAACATATGCCGCTCTAGATGGATTTTGATATTGAAGTTAAACTATTTGGAAAAACAATTTGTCTTCGTTTAAGGTAAATACAGGAATTGGCCCTGCAAACTGTGCGTGCTTGTGGGTTACAGATTTTTCTTTCCCTTTCTCTTCTCTCAACTGTCTTTTTCACTATGGCATCACAATTAAGCACAGGGACACTAGAGTCAGACTCAGGTCAAATACTGCTTCCATCCTTCACTTGCCACATGACCTTGAGTAAACCATTTAGCCCCAGCGTTCTCATCTACAAAATGGGGCAAATTACAACACGTACATCATGGGGTGGTTGTAGGAGTTAAAAAGCTAATGTGTATTAAAGCACATGATATATGTGTTTAATTTTTTTTAAAAAAGAAAAATATTTATTTTTCTTTTTTCCAGCTTTATGAGTATAATTGACATATTACCTTGTGTAAATTTAAGGTGTACAACGTGATGATTTTATTTGTATACACATTGTGACATGATTACCACAATAGGGTTAGTTATGTGTTTGCATTTATTATCAGTACTTTTGTTCTTCGCTGTGGCATTGCTAATCACTTAGACAAATGTTTTCCAAATCCCAGTTCAAGGACAAGCAATATCAGAGGCACTTAAGGATCTTATTTAAAATGTAGATTTATAAGCTCCATATCTGGAGCATCTATTTCAGTAATTTTGGGCTTAGGGGCCTATATTCTTTAAAAGCTTCTCAGATGATTCTGTGCTCAGATAGATTTGAGGACCAGTGACATAGATTGCCCTGGGATGTTGCTGTCTACCCAAGTCCAATTGTGGTGTAAGAAGCTAATGCCATCTGCACACTGGCAATTTACATTCCCCTTCAACACAGAATGTGTACCATCCAAAGCTGTGTCCATTGGGATGACTTCCTCTCAGCGCTGTCTTCAAGGCTACCCCCTGAATAAGGTTGTACTGCAGGCCATTGTCTCTATTTGGCTTGTACCCACATATTCAGCTGACCCAAGCTTGGGCTTTTTCCTCCTTCATCAGCTGATCGTAACAGACTTTCCATGTGGCCAGAGGTATGAGCTAAGGAAAGACACTGATGCAACAGTGGTGAATAACAGGGGGGTCTGGGATACCTGCTAGTATAGCTTGCTTGTGTTCTTGATCTGGGCGTACCACTTCCATCTTACAACGGATTGCTGCCGGGCATGCCCAACCGTGTGGCTTGATGGGTGTGCTGGAACACAGTTTGTCATGGATAAATAGTTATTTGGTGCCCCATGGTCAGGTATCCATCTCTTCCAGGGCCCAACAGTGTGCTAGGAGCTGTTTTTTCTAAAGTTATGCAATTGTGTGATGTCATTGACATGGCTTTGCTCCAGAACTGTGTCTGAGTGTGATTTTCCCAAAGTGGATTGCCAATAACTCCACACAGTGTCTTTTGCCATCACCAATACCTCTAATATCAGAGGGTCTGCCGGGCCATAAGGCTCAAGCTGTAGGGCCACTTGCTTGCAACCGGGACCCTTTCGTAGAGCCTTTACTTCCCATTTCAGCTCTCATTCAAAACTTTTGTGTCTCTTGTTATAGGGGTGTGAACAATATTCCCAACTGTGGAGTTAACGCCTCTAGAACCTGAAGAAGCCCGCTAGCTATCATGCTCCAGTCTTTGTTTTAGGTGGGACATGGTACAATAATTTGTTCTTTACTTTGGCTGAGATGTCCCAGCATTCCCCAGACCCTGGACCTTTAAAAAGTGTTCTAATGTGGCTGGGCCCTGGATCTTCACAGGGCTTGTTTCCCATTGCCTTTATCATGTGAGTCTTACTTACAAAGGCCCCCAGCATACTTGCCACTTGGTGCTCATCAGGTCTGATTTATAAGATGTCATCACCAGGGTGATGTTCTGCAGATGTCCAGTTAGTCTACATGTCCTCAGACTATATTAGGACCAAGAGGAGAGAATTAACATGGCCCTGGGGCCACATTGTAAGTGAATACCGTTGTCTGTTCTGAGCAATGTGAGCAGTTTGTGATCCTCCTTTTTGATAGGGATGAAAAGGACGTAGGCCCCAGATCAAAGGCTGCATTCCACGTACCTGAGCCAGTGCTTAAGTAAAGATATGCTATCTGGTAAGGAAGCTTCAGTGCCAGCTGTTGGCTGCTACTTATTTAAGTTTGTGGGAGTCTCTCATCCTTCAGGACCCATCTGGTTTCTGCAGGGACCAGACTGATTAAATAAATGGTGATATGATAGAGGCCACACCCTGCATCCTATAGGCCTTTAGGGTAGTTCTATGCTCTAAAATGCAAACCTCCCCTCCTCCCACTCCAAGATACTTCAGTGGTTTTTCTTTATTGTCTTGGCTGGGGTAGGGGCCAGTTTTAGAAGCTTCCTCTTGGCTTCCTCACTGTGAGAGCTCTTATTTGTATGGGCGTTTGCAACTGTCAAGTATGTCTATTCCCATCATACCTTTGGGGACTGCGGGGTGGGTTCACTCACCTAGCTTCCTGGTCATCCAACGTAGGTTCTTCTAATGGGATACACTGAGCAATATCTCGGTTGGCTGCTCTACCTGGCCTCTAGGGTTGCTGTTCTCCAAAAATTGTCTCTCATCTCTGCCTGGATGACCCCTAGAGGATGCACTCTGACCTGGCCATTCATTAGGATAATTGTCTATCTGGCTTCTAACAGTGGAGCATAGCCCCCTGGTCTCTAATATTTTGGATCCCATCATCTCCATTGCTCCCAGTGGGCCTACTTCTGTGCTGGTGTCTCCTACTATTAGCTCTGCCCTACAGAGAATGGCACCCACTGAGATTTTCAGTGATCCTGATAGCTCTTACCAGCACACTTCTTATTGCTTCTGGAAGTGGGATACCCTTCGGGTCTTCCCACTGAGCAGCATTTGCTGGGTTTTCTGGCCTCACAGGGTATGTTCACTTTAGCCGCCCACTTCTCTGAGCATTTGATTCTTCCTTCACTGTCTGTCACAGGACTTCTGGCATTTCGGCTTCACTCTGTGTAGTCATCCATCACTTGCTCCAAGCTTCTGAGAGCAACGCCAGCAGCATGTTAATACTGCCTCTCGGAAGTCCTGTCAGGGTGCTGTGATGGGCTGAATTGGGTCTCCCCACAAATTCACATGTCAAAGTCCTAACCCCTAGTACCTCTGAATGTGATTGTGTTTGCAGGCAGGGTCTCTAAAGAAATAATTAAATTAAAAGGAGGTCATTAGGTTGGCTCTAACCCAATATGACTGGTATCCTTAAAAGAAGAGGAGATTAGGACACAGACTCACACAGAGGGAGGACCATGTGAGGACAGCAAGAAAGCATCCATCTACATGCCAAAGAGAGAGGCGTCAGAAGGAACCAAGCCTCCAGACACCTTGATCTTAAACTTCTAGCCTCCAGGACCGTGAGGAAATAAATTTCCGTTGTTTGCGCCGCTCAGTCTATGGTTCCTTGTTATGGCAGCCCGAGCTGCCTAATACATGTCACAGGGGGATGTTCCCACATTGATGAACTCTTCCTTATCCAACTTTGTGTTTGTCCCCAGATCCAGAGCCCCAAGGGTCCAGCCCCTCTATTCTCTCCTGGCTTCTGCTGGTATGTATTGCCTGGGGTCTGCAGCTCCTCAGAGTCTGTCCTTTACCTCCCTTGGAAAGCCCAGCATTTCTCTGACTCATTACGTTGTGACCTAACGCTAGTTATTGGCTTAGTGGCCAGAAGGGAGGAGGGGACAGATCCTGTGTGTGTGTGTGTTTGTGTGTGTGTATCTTGCAGGGTAGAAGTCTCTGCACAGTGTCTTCGAGCAAAGGGGAGGTGCTAGCCCTCAAGAGGGAGGAGTGGCCTCTTTGGAGGCTCAGAGTTCAGGCAGTTCTGGGGATTCAAGGCCGGAGTGCATCACCCGGATGGCCCCACTCCATTTCTCAGGGAATGATTCTTTCCCAGTGGGAGCTCTGAGTTTTGCCACAGCAGAACTGCCTGGTTGAGGCTTAAAATTCTGTTGAGTGCTGTGTTTTTTATGATTAAGTCCTGGGCCTGATCCTTAGCTTTCTCTGTGATTTGAATACAAGTGGCAGAGTCCCTTCACATGCTGGCAAGGAGGCCTTCTAGCTAATTGATGGTTAACGTCCTCAGGCTTTCACTGTCACTCTCTCAAGCATCAATTGCTCACAGCAACAGCATCCAATCTCACCTCTTTATAATGACTCTTTCTCATCCGTATTTCTCAAACAGCGGATGCTTAGTGCTGGCCATGCATTTCCTGCCCGATACATGACCCCAGGTCACTAAGGTGAAAGTTTTAGCAATTTCACTGCTACCCTGAGCCAGGGATTATATGATGGGGTCATCATTGCTGGCTGGGTAGTGGGTGATCCTACTCCAAAATCCTATCAGTTAGCCTCCTCTTTCTTGAACCACTCCTGGCATCAGGGTGGGTTTCTGGGAAACAGACTCTGAGGGGTGATTAGCAGGCTGGATGTCTCTCTTGCAATCCAGGAAAGAAGGAAGCTGGAGTGGGCAGAGGAGAAGTTGGACAATGCTGCTATCAGGCTGTGGGAAGCTGGCATGGCTTTCAGAGTCAAGCTGAGTTGGAGCAGGGGGGATCAGGCTGTCACGCTCCTGATCTGTCAATTGTTTCCTGGATGCCAGCTGTTGCAGGAAGGGCAGGATCTCGTGCAATGTGGCTCCCTTCAGCCAAGGGCAGCACCTGCAGAGGACAGACAGCCCTCCTAGCCCTGGGGAAATGCACCTGTGGGTCCTGAAGGGGGATCTGGAAAATGCAGAGGGCATCCATGACAGTAACCCAAAAGCATTCGTTTTATTGGGGCCACTTTGAACTTCACATGGGTCCAGGCTCAGTGCTGATGCCTCCTTTTGGTGGATGAAGCAAAATGCTGAAATTGTGCCACAAATTGGAAGCAGCACTTGGATGAGGCATACTATCATTAAAAGGTTTATTCTTGTTATCTCCTAACATAAGTCTTTTCTGTGAAGGGATGTTATCCTAGAAGGCTCAGGCCATCCTCAGCCACCTCCACCTCTCGGACACCAGTTCTCGGGTGGGAATCTGAGCCTCCACCTGCCGCTGGGCTGTCATCAAGCCAGAAGTGACACTGAGACGATCTAGCTGTCATCGGCACGTTAGGAGCCCATGAAGGTGAATCGGGGGACTGCAGACATAGCTCACGTTGAACTGCGCATCCCAGAGCCAACCACAACAAAACTCCAAAGAGGAAAGGTCAGACCCATGAAGTGCTATTTGTTTTCACTGAAACTCCATCCCACCCACTTAACACCCGTCTAACCAGGAACGGAATCAATTACCACGTGTCAGGCCGAAATCTGACACAAGAAATGAAAGAAGGACACAATCTCCCCAGGGGGGTGGCAGGCGGGCAGAAAGGGTGGGGGAGATAGAAAACCCAGGGAAGGGAGCCATGAATGAGCCACTTTCTCCTGTAATTAAGGGTTAAAGGCAGCCAGAGACCTGATTCCCTTCTCTCTCTCTCTTCTGGCCTTAGAGCCCAGATTGGTATTACTGTTGGACTACTGGGTGTTTCTGTCATAAAAGATGGTCAGCAAGACTGTGAGGTTATTCGACTTTGGTTACATAAGTTGCTCCATTTAATAATTAAAGACCAAAAGGTTCTAGACGTTTACTATTTTGTAGAGCTCCAGGAGCGAGAATTCCTGGCAGATCATGTTCGGCTGCCATGCCTATTTGAGCTGATTGAGTTGCTGCGTTTCTCAGGCTTCTGTTAAATGTGGTGTCAGCTCATCCGAGAGTGCCCACTTACGATGATGTCATTCACTTGCTACATTTATGCAAGTCTTGAAAAGAGAGCTCACGGGCTGCTCAGGCAGAATCCACAAAAGTTCAGAGGATGGATCTCGGCAGAAGTTAGCCTGGAGTGGTGCGGACAAGTAGTCTTCACAGAAATCAAAATATAATGATGTACAACCGAAATGTGTATAATATTATAAACCAATGTGACCTCAATAAAAAAAGAAAAACAAAACCCAATCTAAAAAGCAGTTGTTTAACTTGAAAGTTAGCACCCTGTAAGTTGAAAAGCATTTCAAATAAATGAAGATGTTCTTCAGGAAGAAACATTCATCTGGTGCTACTTCACCAGCTCTATCAAATAAGACATTTTCAGTTTTTAGTTTTTGTTAATAAAGGACACCTATACTCTTAAACTTTTATTAATGGGGTCCAAGGATGAAGAACCCTCTTGTCCTCAGCTAGAGCATTAGAGGGCATTTTCTGATCTGTCCTATAAATGGCCTTACCCCGCATTGCCCTACTGTATTGGAATGTTCCAGGTATGAAGCATTGATTAAACTGGAACATGGATACAGAAAGCAGGGAGCATGCTCCAGATATCCTGGTGGTAATTAAAGGACATTTCCATTTATTGGCAGGAATTAATGAAAGGTAAAAGTTTTGACAATTAACATTGTCAGTGGCATCGTAAGCAGCGTGCTAATGAATGAATCCATGAATTGTTCTTTGCCGAAGTTATTAGCTTTATTTTGTCATCTGATATTGATACCTCCCTAGGATGCTACTCTCAGATTATTTCTATTCTTCTCATGTAAATGGTGCTCAGCCGTTGGTTCTTTTGTCTGCAGAGAGAGAGAGAGACGTGTGCGCATTCTCTGCTCTCTCAAAGTGACGCTGCCTACAGTGTGGTTTTGTTCACTGCCTACATGGTAATGCCCCTTCTGTCTTGATTCTTATACCGATCTTCATTTCCTGGGCTCAGCCCTGCACCTCCATCTCCGGGGAGAAATTGTGCCCACTGACTCCCAGACACCTTAAAGTCAGCAGGTCACAGTGGCATCAATCACCTTGCCCAGATTTGTCTCCTCCTCCACTTGTATTCTCCATTTCAAAGGTGGGAGCAATAGGCAGCACACTCTTTGACATTGGTCTGAACAGCATATTTTCAAGTCCCATGTCTGACGGGCAAGGGAAACAAAAGAAAAATTGAACAAATGGGACTACATCAAACTAAAAAGCTTCTGCACAACAAAGGAAACCATCAACAAAACGAAAAGACAGCCTAACTGTTGGGAGAAGATATTTGCAAACCATATATCAGATAAGAGGTTAATATCCAAAATGTACAGAGAATTCACACATCTCAACAACAAGAAAACCAACAACCCAATTAAAAAATGGGCAAAAGATCTGAACAGAGATTTCTTCAAAGAAGATATATGGATGGTCAACAGGTACATGGAAACATGTTCAACATCATTAACTATCAGGGAAATGCAAATCAAAACTACAACGAGATATCACCTCACTTTGGTCAGAATGGCTATAATTTACAAGACAGGAAACAACAAGTGTTGGAGAGGATGTGGAGAGAAGGGAACCTTCGTACACTGCTGCTGGGAGTGTAAACTGGTGCAGCCACTATGGAAAACAGTATGGAGTTTCCTCAGAAAATTAAGAATAGATCTACCATAGGATCCAGCTATTCCACTGCTGGGTATTTATCCAAAGAACTCGAAAACATGAACGCATAAAGACACATGCACCCCTATGTTCATTGTAGCATTATTCACAACAGCCAAGACTTGGAAGCAAACTAGGTATCCATCAAGGGACCAATGGATAAACAAGATGTGGTATATAGACACAATGGAATACTACTCAGCCATAAGAAATGATGAAATCCAGCCATTTGTGACAACATGGATGGAACTTGAGGGTATTTTTCTAAGTGAAATAAGTGAGAGGGAGAAAGTCAAATACCATATGATCTCACTCATAAGTAGAAGATAAAAACAGTGACAAGCAAACACATAGCAACAGAGATTGGATTGGTGGTTACCAGAGGGGACGGTGGGAGGGAGGAGGGTAAAAGGGGTGATTAGGCACATGCGTGGTGGTGGATTATAATTAGTCTTTGGGTGGTGAAAATGATGTAATATACACAGAATTCGAAATATATTAAGATGTACATCTGAAAGTTATATAATGTTATAATCCAATGTTACTGCTATAAAACAGAAAAATTAAAATTAAAAAATAAATAAATAAAATGGAAAAAAGACAAAAAAAAAAAAAAAGAAAAAAAATGTGGGAGCAAAATCCCAGGGGCACTTCAACTTGAAACCCGAGATACTTTCTTGATCCCCTGTCTCCTGTATACCCAACATCAACAGATGTTCTAAATATTTCTAAATATTTCTTTTAATTATTTCTCACATCTGCCCCTCTTCACTGTTCTCTCCACTTGGCCCTATTTTATACCTCCATCCCATTTTTCCGTCTATTTTGACAGCCTGAGTTCTCACTTCTGTGGCTTTGCTCATGTTGTCCCCTCTTGCTAGAATGTATCCCTCTCTCTTCCCTTTTTTTGCTTGAGGAAGCTTTGCCCTGAGCCAATCTTCCTCTATTTTGCATTGCATGTGGGTCACTGCCACAGCATGGCTGCAGAGAATGGTGTAGGTCCATGCCCACGAACCAAACCCAGGCCGCTGAAGCAGAGTGTCCTGAACTTAACCACCAGGCCACAGGGCCGACCCCTCACTTCTTTTTTTATGGAAACATTAATTCCTTAATAGTTTTCAAAATTTGCATAGTCTCTTCTGTTTTCTATCTTCCTTGATTGCATGCATCCCTGTCTTCCCCCCTCTCCCCATTAGAAAGTTTTGCATCATCTTTTCTCCCCCAACATGAGGTTGGTTACCCAATGTTGACTTACTAATGAATTGCATCCCTTCTCTTTCCTGTCTCCACCATCGCTCTTTGGGTTGAAGCCCACTTGACTTCCGTGTAAGCCAATACACCAGTGAGTCTCCTGGTGAATCTTTCCTCCTCCGTCTTCCAACTTTCACACTGTCCTTCAGCTTACCATTGGATTCATCTTTCTAATGTACTTCTTTGTTTGAAACTTCTGTACCCATTTTCTGCCGAGAAATGTCCTAACTCCCTAGCACGGCATTTGGAGCCCTTTACAATCGGACTCTAATTTACCATTTTAGTGGCAGGTGCTGTCACACTTCCCTAACTTCCTGTTTCCTCCCGTCTCCCAGCTGCCTTAGAGCTGTGCCATCTTTCTCATCATTTTGGCCTACGGACATGCTGTTCTCTGCTGTGGCATTTTTCTCTGGGTGTTAAAATCTGACTTACTTCTTAAGACCTAATTTAAACAGACCCACCATGTGAGGGCCCTTCTGATTCCACCAGCGAGAACAGATTGCCTCTTCCTTGTGGTCTCAATGCCACCTGTACCTCTAGTTGCTATTTATCACAGTCACCCTAGAATTATGAGCACTTTCCTATCTCTTTTCTTTTGAGCTTGTGGACCCCTCAGGATGCATTGCATTGCTGTTTGTGCTCCTCAGTACTTCCATAAATTTAGGAGCCCCTCATTAAATCCATTGCAAAAAATGGAAGACCACGTATTTTAGATGTATATTTCAAAAAGAGAATTCTTTTTTTTTGAGGTATAATTTCACACAGTATAATAGCTTCTGATATATGACATAATGATTTGATATTTGCATATATTTCAAAATGATCACGACAATATGTCTAGTTAATATCTATCACCATACATAGTTACAAAATTTTTGGTTTTTTTTTTTGGAGGAAGATTAGCCCTGAGCTAACTGCTGCCAATTCTCCTCTTTTTTTCTGAGGAAGACTGGCCCTGAGCTAACATCCATGCCATCTTCCTCTACGTTATATGTGGAACGCCTACCACAACATGGCTCGCTAAGTGGTGCCATGTCCCCACCTGGGATCCAAACCGGCAAACCCTGGGCTGCCAAAGCGGAACGTGCACACTTAACCACTGAGCCATTGGGCCAGCCCCCAGAATTTTTTTTTCTTGCAAAGAGAACTTTTAGGATCTACTAAAAAGAGAGTTCTTTATTTTTGATTGTGTGTTGTTTTTAATCTTCACTATCATCGTTTCTAAAATTTTTATTAACACCAAAAGCATACACTATCTTTTGTCTTTTTAAAAGCTTAATCCAGTTAGTTGTTTTGAAAATAAAAGGTAGAATTCACATAAGTACGACAGAAAGTGTTTCTGAATTGTTGACTTAAAAACAATCATTTGGTGAATTTCAACATTATGTTTCAAACTGGAGTCCGTATGGACAAAGCTTGAATCAAGTGGCATACAGTTTCTCTGGTTTTGTTCAGGCATAGCTCCCGCCCTAAGGAATTCACCTTATTTTTCTTTTGCAGTGGCCTCTGATGTTCAGGGAATGGATCTGTGGGAATGAATAGCCTAAATTATATCTTGCTACGTAATAAATGGATGTCTGATGAAATGCACACACATACTATATATATATATATATATGAAAGTGAACATGTGGACAACAGATGATTTTTAGATGTGACTAACATACTCATTAGGCATTTTTAGCAAATTTCTCCACCAGGCTCATTGTCCTGAAGTTGAAATACAAGAAGTCGACTGTCCAGGACGCTCTTCAGAATCCTGAAGTTTAACTTGGATCCCTTTGAAGTCTTTCACTATGATTGACGGAACATTTCAACATTTTGCTATACTCAAAGGCTCTCAATAAAAGATAAAATCAAGTGCCTTACTAATCAAGGATACCACAAATGACTGGAAATCAGGTGAAAATGTGACATGAGCGGTAATATTAAACCCAAAAACCTGTATCAATCACTACAAATTTCAAAAGAGTTTGGAAACATTTAAAGCTTTTCAAAAGTGCACACGGCTGATTTCAGAAACCATTTGGGAAATATTTGGGTGCTATTTGTAATAGAAACAAATCCCAGTTTGATGTTTTTCTGGAGTGAATGTTTTAGAAGAGAGTTTGGCATCACAAAGCAAGGGCAGAGGAACGTCTTCTGTGCCTGTGTGTTGGAGAGCAGAGATCCCCCAGATACGGCTGGGTTTGTTCCCCATGCCAGTGTCAGCCACTGATGGGACAAAAGCCACTTTTTTGGAGGTGCCAGTCTTACATCCAGGTGGAGAGGGTTATCATCAGCAGACTAAGATTTTGGGGTTCTTAGCAAGGACTCTCAAGACCCTTCGTTTCACTCTCATCATCCTCAGATAATCTCCCTGAGATGACTGAGGCCTCAAACTGCACTGCAGAGAGCTCAAGACTCAAATGCTAACACCCCTTGGAGGGTCATGAGAGTAAGTTCACCGTGGGTACCTATGGCAGGAGAGCTTCCCAGCCCGGGGGGCAGTGGGAACACAGCGATTGCTAACCAGGCTAGCAAGCAACACAGATGGAGGTATCAAGACTGTCAAGGACAAAGATCCAGATGGTGCCTTGAAAACAACAAACTCCAAAGAGGTTTTGAAAGTGAATTTCAGCAACTTCCCAACATCTTATCATCTAGTTTTCCCCCATTTTTTAAAACTAGGAATTGAATCCCACATGGGTATCAGACGGGATAGCTGTTTGTCCAGCCCTGTCACGTCTTATAGACTTGTTTCACTGTGTTGCTCGCTGGATGACAAATCTTCACTGACCCTCCCTTCCCTTTAAGGGGCAATCTGCAGTCTTCAGCTAGTGTTCAAAGCCATCTAAAATTGGCCCAAACTTACTCTTGTAGGCTTATGTCCCCTAGTCCCCAACATTAATTCTTTATCAGAGTCACAGTTACCCTGCAATGTACCTGCAATATGCCTGTCTCAGTACCTCTGCTAATGCCATTTACCTACCCCCAGAATGAGTTTCCTTTGCTCTTGTCCAGTGGGAACTTCACCTGGACTCAGAGACCTTGTCACATCTCACCACCTCCAGGAAATCTTCCAAGATCACCCAAGACCTGTGAGACCATTTCCTCTTTTTACACCTCAAAGATGTCCCCTGCTGTCTAGTGCTGTCACCCTTTATGTGCCTATTGAGAACCCTGGGCTGCTGTAAGCTCAGCATAATGTCCAGCATGTAGACAGCTGCTCAGTAC